CAGCGTATTCACACGGCACATTCCCACAGTGTGCTCACACGTAGTGCTGATTCAGCTGTCACAGTGTTCACACACAGCACGCTCACACACAGCACGTTCACACAGTGTGCTCACACAGCACGTTCACACAGTGTGCTCACACAGCACGTTCACACAGTGTGCTCACACAGCACATTCACACAGTGTGCTCACACAGCACGTTCACACAGTGTGCTCACACACAGCACGTTCACACAGAGCTCACACATGGCGTATTCATACAGCACATTCCTAGTGTGCTCACACACAGGGTATTCGCACAGCACTGACTCAGCTCTTACCCAGTGCTCGCTCACAGCACGTTCACACAGAGCTTTCACACAGAGCTTATACACAGCGTATTCACATGGCACATTCCCACAGTGTGCTCACACATAGTATGTTCCCACAGGGCGCTAACCCACAGCTCGCCTAGAGCCCCTTCCCCTGACTCCAGGCCCTTGTTCGCAATGAAAGCAACTTCACTGCACGTCCCTAGGTCCCCAGCACCTTCTTGCCACAATAGTCAGTGCCATCAACTCTGCTCCTCTCAGGACCTGCAGTAGCTACAGTGTCCTGAGCATCTGTGGGCTCCTGACTCTGGTAGCCAATGTGGAGAGAGGCTCGGGGTTGCTGGCCAGCTCTCCCGAGGCCTTGCTGAGCTGGGGTCCCAGTCAGGTCTGTGGGTTGCAGGCCTTTGTCCTTGGGCTCCCGCTCGTAAGTGTTGCCATCTCCTTAGCTTGACTTCCAAGGCTCTGGCTCCTCAGCCCTCGCCTTGCCTGCCCCTCCAGGCGCCCTGTTCCTATGGTCACTCCCGGTCCCTTTTCTTCAGACACCCTGCCCCTACGGGCGTCCTACTTCCGTGGGTGTCCCCAGCCCTGCTTTGCAGACACAGGGCTTTGCCTGTATTGCCTCCTGTGGCTCCCAGCCTGACTCTTTCAAAAGCCCACCCTGCTCAGACCCACAGACCCCAGACCTGGCCTGTCCCTCACCTCTGACCTGAGGTCACTCACCTCCCCTTACTGGGTCCCCCCAGCTGGTGCGTCTGGGGCCTGAGCCTCCCCCACCTCTTGGCAGCTACATCTTTGAGCTGTTTGCTGAAGCCCAGATCACGTGCCAGACCAAGGGCTGCATCCTGGACTCCCTGGACCAGGTCATCCAGCACCTGGCAGCCCGTAAGTCACCTTACCCCTGCCTGGGGGGCTTCACTAACTGCAGGAAGACTCGAGCAGATGCACCTAAGGCCCAGGGGGGTCCTGCCTGGAGCTGAGCTGCTTGGGGTGGCTGTCTGTCCCCCACACCACCTGTGGGCCATATTCCCTGCATGTCTGGGGGTGACCTGAACACAGGCAGAGGGTACACACTGAGCCCAGCCACGCACATTCCCACCTTCCCGACTGGGATGTGGAGTTCAGGGCCACGTGGCCATGCCGTCACAGGTTCTGTGTCGTCCTTTGCCAGCTCCGTCCATTCGTGGTGCATCCTGTTGGCTGCTCCCCAGCCAGCCCACTGTGGGGAGTCCATGAGAATGGGCATGGCTGGCCTCCTGCATCTCCCGTCCTGTGTCAGGAGGCATTCCTCTTGACCTGGTGCTCCCAGGGCCTTTTTCTCCTGGGGATACTGGGCCTCACTTGTCCTGGCTCAAGGGTGGGATGGCCACAGCTCCCAGGCCAATGTGGCTACAGAGCCACTTGTCCTTCAGCCCCCGGGTCCCAAGCCCTTCAGAGGTGGGACCCATGTTCTTGGGAGAGCAACCCTTTGGTGGGTATGGCCTGTGTCCACTACCTGGCTGGCCCTCTGGGGGCAGGGTCCAAGCTCTGGCTGTGTGAGATTGTCACCTGTGTCCCTGCCTCCAGGTGCTGGGGTGTTCACCAACACGGTAGGGCTGCAGAAGCTCTCGGACATCATCCAGGTAGGGCTACTTGTCAGGGTACTTCCCTCTTGGTGGAGCAGGTGGGGCTGTCACAGAGTCTGTGCAGTGGCGGCATGACACAGGCTCCTCACTGGTAGCCCAGCTCCCCTCCTGCCCCCTGCATGCAGTGCCAACCCAGCTGAGCCAGGCTGCATCAGCCCTGCCCACCTTCTGGGCCATGGTCCCCACCCCACCCATGTACAGAAATGACCGAAGTAACTTCTGGCCTTGTCCCTCTACTGGTTGGGCTTTGTGAACAGCTTCCCTTACATTGAAAATGGGGGACATGATGATTTCCTGAAGCAGCTGTTAGAGAACAGGCAGATGCCACGTGTCCCAGAAAGAGAACAGCCTCATTGGCACCGTTAGTTTCCTATCCATCCTGTCATTGCATGTCTGGAGGTGACCTGGCCGCAGGCAGAGGGCACATGCTGAGGGTGGTACCTGGCACCTTGGTGGGGCTGTGGCTGCCTGTGCTGTGCCACTATCCCAGGGAGTCCAGGGTCATCAGCTGTGGTCAGCAGCCCAGGTCTGGCGTACAGCAGCCATCAGGGCCATGGAGCCCCTCCTGGGTACGCGCCAGGCTGGATGTTCCACTGCTGCTCCGCCCTGTCAGGGGACATGGGAGGAACGGGGACGCTGTGTGACCACGTGGGAGGGTCAGCTGCCTCCTTTGCAGCTGAGGCGCCACGTGTCAGAGCAGAGCTCACTGGGAGGCACGGGGCCTGGTGGCCTGTGGCTTCATCTCTCAGCCTGTGCCCTCGTGCATGTGCCGGGCACCTGTGCTGGGCCACTTACAGTTGGAGGTGGCGTGTCCTGCCTCCTTGCAGCTGGGGGCCTGGGGCTCTGTCCTCCCAGGGCACGTGTCCTCAAGACAACAGCGCTGGGGCTGCAGGTTCCTGCTGGCCCACCCTGTGGGGCCTTGCCAAGCTTGACTCCTAGGACGGGGGCGCTGCCCCTGCTGTGGGCCCTGCCCTGTTTCCTGTACTGTCTGCGTGAGCAGGCCCTGAGTCAGCCTGGCTGCTACATCCGCTGTCCCTCCCCGGGATGCAGCTCCAGGTGCTGCCAGGTCTGCAGGAACTGCCGCAGGCCCTGCTGCTTGGGGTCTCTGTCAGCCTTTGGCCTGACTCAGCCAGCCTTCCCACTCCGCCCAGGTGCAGCACAGGCCTGACAGCATGCTTGCGCATTCATCAGCAAGTCATTGCTTGGCCTCAGGCCCTCCTGTCAGGCTGAGGGTGTATGGTGCATCTGGACAGGGCAGATCCAAGGGCAGATCTCGGAGAGGCTGAGAGGTCAGCCCGGCCACCTGACCCTCAGGGTTGCATGTCTTCCTGGCGCAAAGTCTTTTCTCGGCACTGTTCCCCACCATTATCCCTTGCGTGTTGACTGGGAAGCCTGTACGAACCCCAGCTCTCACTCAGCTGCTCTCGTGCTGGCCACCTGTCATTTTTCAAAGGTTTAGTGGATGTTTCCTCGCAGTCCAGTGATGGGTTTTGTCCTGTGAAGTCGTGGGCTCCCTGCTGTGGGATGGGGCACATAGGGGCACACAGAGACAGAGGGGCCTGTGCCGAGCCATGCTGGGCTACACCCCAGGGCCACTAGATGACACTGCTGTTGGGCAGTGGATGCCACCCCGAGAGGTGTCTGTCCCGTATGCCCGGGCTGACTTCCTGGCCTGGTCTCTGCCCTGCAGATGGTCTTCAGCACTGACTCACCTGAGGGTAGCCCGGGCTCTGTAGGAGGTCAGGGGGCATCGAAGTTCTACAAGGTAGGAGATGCTTTGGTGCTGTGGGACCTCCCAGGCTGGCGGGTGCGATGGGCTGGGTGGCCCTGGAGTGTTGTGCACACTGTCCCTGCAGGTGCACATCCACCCCGACACGGGCCAGCACAGGAGGGCGCAGAGGTTAACCTCCTGGAATGCCGCGGCAGCCAGGAAGCAAGGTACAGCCCAGGAGGGTCCCCCATACGCACCTGACCCTTCCTGGCTCTTGGTCTCGTGGCCGGGGTTGGCCCAGCCACCTTCTGTGTGTGCAGCCCACTGCTGGGTTCCTCCTTGTCCTGCTTGGAAAAGTCAAAGGGTGCTGTGAGGACCCTGAGGGGAGGCCCAGAGCTGCCTCTGTGGGTATTGGCGGGGTAGGGCCCAGCCCACACCCCCAGCCCTCTTTAACCTGGGGCATCCGAGCCCCCTCCAGTCTTGGGTACCCCAGCACTGCCCCTCTGTGCTCGGGTCAGGAGGATGGGGATATCTGCCATCTCCCCTCTTTTTGGAAATCCTGTGATTCTCAGAAATGGTCCTTCCCTAAAGGAATTGACAGGAAGTTACTTCATTTCCCTTGCTGAGAAGTGGGGGGCGGGGCCTCAGCAGAGGCTTTGGAGCACCCCTCTGTGGGGGCTGGGCACTGTGGGAAGCGCTCCAGTCACTATTCCAAGGTTTCCACCCTTCACCAGTGCACGTTCCTGTCCTCGAGGGGCGGCCATGGGCCTGTCCCTGTCTGCCCCCAGAAAGGGTTTTGGAAGGTGGCTGTCATGGCTGCTGGCCCTGGGCCCCACTTGGTCATGTCTGAGGTCATCCTCCATGTCCCAAGATGACAACACTGGGACAAGGCCCTGGCCTCCGTGCCCCGGCCGGCCAGGGAGGCACTTCTAGGGACTCAGGGACTCCTGCGCGAGCCAGTGATCTCGTTTACTCCTGAGGTGACATACTGGCTCTTGCCGTCACAGGCCCTTCTGGTGTCTGGGAGGCCTGGGAACTGCCCTTTTGCAATCCTGCTATAGCCTGTGGGAGCTGGCGCTGGCCTCCTTCCTGGCGTGGGCTGTTGGCAGGCAGTGAGCAGGTCACTGCCCTGGGACAGTCCTTTTGTGTCCTCAGCCTCACATCATGGTTCCTGCCTCAGCTTGTGGGGGGGGGGTAGACTGTTCTCTCTGAGATCTGCCTGCTGTTGCAGGGGCTGCGCCAGGCCAGCTTCTGTGGGATGGAACCTAGATCACTGTCCCCTCCTGGGGGGCTGTGATCTGCCTGGGTTGGGCCAGGGGCACTATGGCCCTGGATCACCCTGTGGCCACCCCAACTGTCATGTGATTGGCAATGGTCCTGAAGTCTGTGAAGGCCATGGAGGCGAGAGTCCTGACTCCATACGTCCCCCCAGGGAAAGGGCCTTATTCCCACCCTCACACATGTCCCCCCAGGGGAGGTGCCTCGTTCCCTCCCCCACACGTCCCCCCAGGGGAGGTGCCTCGTTCCCTCCCCCACACGTGTCTCCCCAGGGAAGGTGCCTGATTTCCACCCCCACGCGTGTCTCCCCAGGGAAGGTGCTAAGCTACTGGTGTTTCAACCCAGGCCACAGCATTCGTGAGCTCATGTGCCAGGGGGTCCGCTCACTCATTCTCACCAGTGGCACGCTGGCCCCTGTGTCCTCCTTTGCCTTGGAGCTGCAGATGTAAGGGGGGGAGCCCCTGGGGATGGGGGCAGAGCGAGCCTGTGGAGAGCTAGACTTTGGTGCCAGGGGTCCCTGGGTGCTTGGGGCTTAGGGCCCGGGGAGGGACAGTGGGTGCCTGTGCAGCCAACCCAGCCTACCCTACTGCCACACAGCCCTTTCCCTGTCTGCCTGGAGAACCCTCACGTCATCGACAAGCACCAGATCTGGGTGGGGATCATCCCCAAAGGTCCCGACGGGGCTCAGCTGAGCTCGGCGTTTGACAGACGGTAAGACCTCGGCTCAGCCAGGACGGGTGGCTAGCACTGAGCTCACCCAGGCAGCGGGCTGAGAGGAGGGCCTATGCTGCTGTGGGTGGGGCCCACTGTCAGCAGTGCGTGTGGGGGGCATCCCAGACCGTCTGCATCCTGAGAGTACTGCGGTGCTCACCTGGCCGCCCAGTCCTGGCCCAGCGTGCGAGAGGAAGGTGTGCACTGGCCAGTGTGTGGAGGAGGGCTGCCCATGGCCGTCAGCGTGGGCTGCACTGGAGGGAATGCTGGGGGGAAAGCCCCCACAGGCAGGGGTGGAGGAGGGCAGGTGCAGGAGGCACAGTGTGCCAAGATGGGCAAAGGAGAGCATCGGTAACCTGGGTGCCACTCACCCTGTGCCCGCGGGCCTTGTCTGCAGTGCCTGGGCTGCCTGTTCTGTCATCCACGCTGCTCCATGGGGCTGTTGGGTGGGGCTAGGGCTCCGGGTGGTCCTGGGCCAAATGGAGCCCAGGCAGCATGACCACCGGCACTGGGGGCACAGGTGGAGGCCTGGCCTTGGAGCCCTCCTCAGTCCTGGGGGCCAAGGCCAGAACTGGGCCCTTTGTGGAAGCTGTCTCCTTGGCTTCATGCAGGTTTTCTGACGAGTGCCTGTCCTCGCTGGGGAAGACCGTGGGTGAGTGCCTGTCCCGAGGGCAGCCCTGCCTCACCCTGGGAGCCTCTCCGCAGCACCCCAGCCGTGACCAGGCCTCTGCTTGCAGGCAACCTTGCCCGCGTGGTGCCTCACGGACTGCTGGTCTTCTTCCCTTCATACCCCGTCATGGAGAAAAGCCTGGAGTTTTGGCGGGTGTGCCCCTCCCCCATCCTTTGTGCCCTGGCGTGGGTGGGGGCAAGGGCACCAGACAGCAGAGGTCCAGGAGAGGTGGACAGTGGGGAGAGTATGTGGCCAGGCTCTCCCTGTGTACCTTGGATGGGGGGAGCAGTGACCAGGTGTGGGGTGGCTGTGCTCTGGTCTCACCTCTAGGCCCACGACTTTGCCCGGAGGATTGAGGAGCTGAAACCGATGTTTGTGGAGCCCAGGGGCAAAACTGGCTTCTCGCAGGTATGTCCCACTAGGCTTGGCCCAGCCCCACAGGTAGGCCCTGTCCTTCCCTTTGTGTCCAAGGTGTCCCAGGCCACTGGCCACTCCTGACCAGGTTCAGACCAGCTCCCTTCTGGTCAGGAAGCAGCAGCTCGCCAGTATGCATGGTGACCTGTGTCCCAGCGGCCACGCAGAGCCAGGCTCCCCAGCCCCCCCTTACCCTGGGGTTCTCCTGTTTTCTAGACCCAGTACCTTCTGGCCTCCCTCCTGGCCAGCAGGCTGGGGCCTGAGCCCAGGCTGACCAGCCTCTCTTGCAGGTTATTGATGCTTACTATGCTAAGGTCACTTCTCCAGGGTCCGGCGGGGCCACCTTCCTGGCTGTGTGCCGTGGGAAGGTGAGGCCTTGGTGTAGTCCCACATGGCTGTCCCCCAGTTTCCTATTTGGTAGATGCTGTCAGGGTAGGGCTGACTGCTGACTGCTGCTGTCACATACTGCTGGCTTCAGGGTTCCAGGACTGCAGACTCTGGTGGGGCGAGACTGGGGCACCTGCCCCCACCCCCATGCTGATGGTTTCAGCCAAGGCGAAGGGTCCTGGCTGCTGTAGAGGGGTAGGCAAGAAGCGTGCACCCTACTCAGCATCTTCCTGTCCCTGTCCCCAGGCCAGTGAGGGGCTGGACTTTGCAGACATGAATGGCCGTGGTGTGATTGTCACGGGCCTCCCGTATCCCCCACGCATGGACCCCCGAGTTGTCCTCAAGATGCAGTTCTTGGACGAGATGAGGGGCCAGAGTGGATCCAGAGGCCAGGTCAGGGGTCAGGGGGCCAGGACCTGTAAGCTGCTGCGGGGCTAGAAGCTGGGATGTGCAGGGAACCACTGATGAGTCCATCCCCCATGCAGTTCCTCTCTGGACAAGACTGGTACCGGCAGCAGGCAGCCAGAGCTGTGAACCAGGCCATTGGCCGGGTGATCCGGCACCGCCAGGACTACGGTGCCGTCTTCCTCTGCGACCACAGGTGGCTTTGTGGTTTCTTGTGCCCTACCAAGGCCCGAATCCCTTCTGGACCTGTGCCCACCCAGAGCAGAGCAGGGTCCACAGACCTCCTCCAGCCTAAGAGGACCTCTAGCATTCCTGGGGAGCAGGGCTCTAAGTCCGTGGGGGGTCCTGAGCCCTTTGTACAGCTCTGGGTGGGTGGGACCTTGGGACCCTGCTGATAGCCCTACCCCTGCAAGGTTCGCTCACGCCGACACCAGAGCCCAGCTGCCGTCATGGGTGCGTCCGTTTGTCCAGGTGTATGACAGCTTTGGCCCTGTCATCCGGGATGTGGCCCAGTTCTTCCGTGTTGCTCAGAGAACGGTGAGCTCAATAGCTCAACTGAGCTCGCCAGGGAGGGGCTGTCTCCTTGGAAGCCACAGAAAGGACAGGTGAGGGCCTCACCCAGCCACCTCTCATGGCAGATGCCTGTGCCCACACCCCGGGCTGCTGCTGTGGGCCCATCCCTGGGAGACAGTGCCGTCCCAGGGGTCACACCGCCCAGCCCCCTGGTCCTGACCAGAAGTGCCAAGAGCCTGGATGTGCACGTGCCCAGCCTGCAGCGGAGGCCCGTGGGTGTGTAGGGGCGAGGGGCGGGGCAGTGGGGTGAGCCCCAGCAGTAGGTACTGGTGGCCAGAGTAGCTGCTGCCTGCTGAGCCCCTCAGTGGGTGTGACTGCCCCCTCCATTTCTCCCAGGGTCATTGGCTGCCGGGGAAGCTGACAGCAGAGTGTGCCTGGAATATGAGCAGGGGCTGGTCCTGGCCCAGCGGAGGCCCAAGGGGCTGCTGGCTGCCCTGGAGCACACCGAGCAGCGGGCCGGGAGGCTTGGGGAGGAGGAGGTGAAGGGGGAAGAAGCCTGCAGATGGACATGAGCTCAGACCGCCCACTCATTTTCCCAGCCTCACCTGGGGCCCCTCGCTCCTAGGGCCCCACCTCTCCCCTGCCTGGTTTGTGCCAAGCATCCTGGGCCTGCCCCCCACTCCTGTTGGGGCATCAGCCTCTCCTGCCCCTCTAGGTCAGACCAGCCTCTGGGCCCATCTCCCCACAAGGGGCATCCTTGTCCCATTCCCTTCCAGACGTCGAGAGCAGGAGGCATAGTGGAGGGAGGGGCAGAGCACCTTGGGACCCCAGGTGTCATCTACCCCCACATCAACCTGGGAGATGTCTGCCGATGGGCTTTGGGGACTCCAGGGGTTGAGGGGATGGGTTGGGACTGTGGCTGTCACCCCCAGGTGCCCTGCTGCTCCACCCTGTCACTGCAGCATGAGAAGAGGTTGGTGGACGCACAGAGAGGGTGCAGGAAGAGGATCAAGCTTGTCGGTGGCCACTGCCCTCAGGTGCACCTGTGCTTTGGGTGTAGGCCCTCGGTGGCCTCTGACCTGACCAGGTGGGGTTGTGGACCAGAGCAGGGCCTGGGAAGGCCCCCAGGGCAGCTTTCTTGGACAGCCATGGAGACTGCCGGGCGGTCTCAGACGGTCCTATCAGTGCTGGGAGTTTGGAGACAGTAGGTCTGGGTGGACAGAGGGACCCTCCAGGAAAGAGGTCACTGGGTAGGGAGGGAGGTCAGGCATCGGGGGCTCTAGGCTCCGGCAGAACAACCCCCTCACTGCCATATGCCCCCCCATCAGAACACCCCCCCACCACTTCCTCTCTTCCATCAGAACCTGGCACCTGGAGACACTGTTCTCGGCAGCACGTCTCCTCTGCCCTTTTCGATTTTAACCTGGTATTTGAAGCAACTTCAGCTTTGTAAGACAGTTACAAGAGTCTTGATGTCTCCCTCCTCCTCCACGCAGCATCCCTGAGCGTGACCACCCTCAAAGACTGGATGGGCACAGGCCATGCCGCAGTCTCCAAGGCACCCATGCCCCTGCCCGGTCAGGGCCTGCCCACGTGTGCTTGCAACACCCTGGTTGGTGGCCACCTAGCATTTCTCACCCCTAGGGTAGCTGGTGGCAGCCTGGGGTAAGCCTGTGAGCTGTGGGCAGAGGCGGGCTTGTGGCCCCACTTTTGGGTTTAGTTTTTGTTGTGATTTTGTACAAGGGCACTTTGGCTGGGCAGTGGGCTGTCTGCCACCTGTCACCAGGGATACTGCCTCTGCATCCACCTCTGGTGACACCAGGGGCACTTCCTCCCTCTGGGGGCCTGCATAGCCACTGCTTGAGTTCCGAGCTGGCCATGGTCCTCACCCTCAGGCACCCTGGGTCTGGGACCTGCATGCTGCGATAAGGATAGCACTGTGCTCAGCCCTGGGTGTGGCCACAGGGGTGATGTGCTCGGGTGACTGGTTTGTCAGCTCCTGGCCTCAGATGAGAGCAGTCAGTCCTGAGCAGTTTCAGTTACAGCCTGAGCCAGAGCGTCCCCAACCCCCAACCTCCTGGGAAGCCCAAGGGTTGCTGCCTCTGTCCTTGTGGTTTCTGGAAGTACCAGGCTGAGCTCAGGGAGGGCCACCAGGTGTGAGCTGTGGGCTTGTTGCCAAGGTGCCTGGGCCTATAGGAACCCAGCCCAGCAGGGGGTGAAGGAGGCAGTGCTGGATACCCCCCCCCCCTTTGTGGATGGGGCAGAAAGGCAGGGGCTGGATGTCCCCTTTGTGGACAGAGGGCCCTGATGGGGGGGGGTAGGTACAGGCTCGATGCCTGCACATGATCTGAAGGGAGGAGCAGGGCAGCCCTTTGTGTGAGGTGCTGGATCCTCTCCATGTTGTGAGCTTGGTTCCTAGCAGAGGGTCTAGAGTCAGGAGAAGTGGGGCATCAGGGCAGGCTGGGGGCTGCTGAGCCAGGAGTCTGCAGGTGATTCCCGGCTGTCTGGGCAGGGTTGGATGCGGAGGAGACAGCACTGCCGGCCCAGGAGCCTGGCTTTGAGGGGATCCTGGTCTCTGCCCTGTGGCTGCTCTCAGGCTATGCAGTATCACCCGAAGGCCGCCTGTAGTCTCCAGGCTTTCTGTGCCGGCCCATGCTTGTGGCTGCCCCTCACTGTCTCCTTGTGACTGCTGACAGTCTGACTACATGCCCAGACCTGGCCTCTTCTCACGGCTGCCCTGCTCTGCCTCCAAGAGTGAGCGTGGCCTGTGGGTACCATGAGTGCAAGACAGAGCCCCTGCTACCCCTCAGGCTAAGGGACAATGGCAGGCAGATGGTGGCATGGGGCCCTGTTTTCTCCAGCCACTGCCTTCTCTGCCCACAGGGGCTGGGATGACTGGCTCACACTGGCACTTTGGGGGCCTCAGAGCCTGTGGGGCCAGCCCTGACTGTGTAGCCTGTGTCCCTAGGAGGCAGAGGAACTGGCATCTGGTGAGCAGGTAGACAGAGCCAAGCTGTTCATGGCAGCTGTGAAGCAGGCCCTGAGCCAGGCTAGCTTCAGCACCTTCACCCGGGCCTTGCGGGACTATAAGGGCTCCGACAACCTGGACGACCTCACTGCCAAACTTGGGCTCCTCTTCGCCGAGGACCCTGGGAAGCACAGCCTGCTCCGAGGTGACATGGGGCGGGCAGGCAGAGGTCGTTCCCTGAAGAGGAGCCTGGTGGGGTCCCCAGCTCTCTCGAGTCCTCAGCCCCCCCTCCTCACAGGGCTCTACCAGTTTGTCCGGCCCCACCACAAGCAGCGGTTTGAGGAGGCCTGCCTCCAGCTGACGGGTCAGGGCTGCAGCTACCAGCCAGAGCATATCCTAACTGGAGGGCAGCTGGCCTCTAGCCCCAGTGGTGAGTGGGGCCCTGCATGCCCCTATCTGTCCATACCCTGTCTGAACCTGGATACTACCTGAACAGCATATAACATGTGGCAGAAACCTTCCTCCCGAGGACAGGTGTCACCCCGAGGGGCCCTGACTGGGCCAGAAGATGCCCCCCACCCCCAGGAGGCTTGCCAGCCTAACAACTACTGTACCCGGCTTGGTACCTGATGGTCCTGGGGTGGCCTCTATGGCAGTGATCCTACTGTGTGCCCAGGCCTTGTACCCTGCTGTCCTCAGGGCCATGAGGGCCAGTGTGCCCTGCAGCCCCACCTCTTCCCCATGGGGACTTTCTGGACCCCTGGAGTGCAAGGTGCTTCCCTCTAACCGGTGCTGTGGGGTCTCAGTGCTGCTCATGTTTCCCCAGAGGGGCAGCAGCCTAATACTAGGCTGATTGTCTCCGAGGCTGCGGCCGTGCAGCTGGGTCCTGGAGAGCACCTGAACCAGGGTGGGCCCCATCTGGCCACGAGGCCTCCTACCACAGGTACCCGTAAGACTGGAGACCCTGGGGTGCAACAAGAGCCCTGAACCCCGGTCTCCGTGGGGAGCCTCCCCTGTGGGGGGTTTTCGGGAGTGCCTGCCTGGGATTCTCCAGCACTTGGAGTCCACACACAGGCACACGGGCCCTGACGTGGCCCTGGAACCTACCTTCCAGGAGAGCCCAGCAGCCACCCAGGAACAGGCCGATGGGGCCGGCACACCGTGACTGCCTACCTAGAGGATGCCCGAAGGGCACTGGGCTCCGAAGGCTGCAGCCAGCTCTTGGCCGCACTGACTGCATACAAGAAGGATGACAGCTATGACAAAGTGGTGGCTGTGGTGGCTGCGCTAACCACTGCCAGGCCTGAGGACTTCCCACTGCTGCGGAGCAAGTGGCCCTGGGGCTGTCTGGGGCTGGGGGGGGCGGCACCTAGGGGGAGTACAAGGGCTGAGCGCCCCTGCCCCACAGGATTCAGCATGTTTGTGCGCCCACACCACCGGCAGCAGTTCCTGCAGATGTACTTGGACCTGACGGGCCAGCCCACCCCAGCTGGTGCGGTGGGAGCTCCAGCCACCAGCATCACCGGGCCTCCCAGCCCAGAGCCCAGCCACAGGCCAGGTAGGATGTGTTGCCCCAATACGCCTGCCTCCCAAGCTCCGTCACCATGGGATTCCAGCTCATCTCTGAGTGGGGGACTTCACCCTCTGTCTCCAGGCCCTTCCCAGTCTGAGAAACCCAGCAAGGCCCAGAGGCTGGCTGAAAGCTCAGGAGCCAACGCTGTCCTCACAGAGTCCCCCTGCGGCCAGTCAGAGTCCCCGAGGGGTATGTCAGGGAAGGGAGCCTGTGCCAAGGTCCATGGCTCCACATGGCCCCGTGCAGGGGGCTCTTCGTGCTCCGGCTGTGGGGAGGACGGCCAGGTGCTCTTCCAGTGCCCTGCCTGTGACTTCCAGTGCTGCCAGGCCTGCTGGCACCAGCACCTCCAGGTCGGCCCCCACCCTTCAGGCATGAGACCCTCCCACAGGGTGCCGGGCAGCCTGTCTAGTCAGGCTTCTGTCCCCACAGGCCTCTAGGACATGCCCAGCTTGCCACGCTGCTGCCAGGAAACAGAGTCTCTCACAAGTCTTCTGGACGGGGCCCCTGTGAGCCTCCCCATGGGGCCTGAGGGACCTTGCCTGGACTCTTGCCTCTCTGGCCCTGTTTGGGATGACCCAGCACAGGATGACCTGGCATGGCCAGAATCTCTTGGGACAGCTGGCTGACCCCCACCATGGTGGCTTGACCTGAAACCTCCAGGGGCTCACATCTGACCCTAGACCTGGAAGGACCTGGAAGGGGAGAGGCTGGCTACCCTCTGGGGGTGCTCGCTGGCCCCTGTACAGGACTTCTGCCTGCCTGTGGGGGCTGGAACCCCTGTGAATAAACATACCAGTAGGGCCGCTCTGCCATCTCTGCCTGACTTGACTTGGGGATTGGGTGGGGGTGGTCTCATGGCAGGGTCCCAGGTCCCAAACTTTCCCCCCAGGCAAATGAGCCCTAAAGGGCTCCCTAGGCCCCACCTTGACTCCCAGGCTCACCCGGGCCCTGGCTCATCCCTGAGGGAGAGTGGCATATGTGGGGGGCGCCCCCCAGGTGGTGAGCGTGGAGGGGCTGCATTGCCTCAGCTCCTGCAGCACCCTCCCACACCTAAGTAGGCACGCGTGCCCTCCTGCAACCACCCCCTGGGCCGGGGTTGTGACGCTGGGTCACCTCTGCCGGCACAGCCCCTCCAGGCAGTCACATCCCCCTCCCCTGACGGGGAGTGGTTCCTGCGGGGGCGGGGCCGGCCCGCCCTCTCGCGCCGCCCCATAAACGAAGCCGCTCCGCAGGCGCGTGCTAGGGACCCACAGGGCGACGGCAGGTGAAGCTGGGTGCCGGCCTGCGCGTTCCGGAGAGGCGGGCGGGCTGTGGCCGCGGGCCTGCGGAGCGCCGCGCTTCCCCCGCACCAGCGCACCCCGAGGCCGCGGACGTCCGCTCCAGCAAGGACCATGAGGCTGGCTGGCTGGCTGGGCCCGAGCTCGCCGTGGGCGCTGGCCGCCCTGCTGCTGGCGCTGGCCGCGCGCGGGGTGGCGAGCGGCGCGCCCACCTTCCCGTGGCGGGACACCGAGACGCTCGAGCGGCTGGTGTGTGAGCAGTGTCCGCCAGGCACCTTCGTGCAGCAGCCCTGCGGCCGGGGCCGCCCCACAGCGTGCGCCGCGTGCCCGCCGCGCCACTACACGCAGTTCTGGAACTATCTGGATCGCTGCCGCTACTGCAACGTCATCTGCGGGGAGCGCGAGGAGGAGGTGCGGCCGTGCAGCGCCACTCGCAATCGGGCCTGCCGCTGCCGGCCCGGCTTCTTCGTGCACGCCGGCTTCTGCCTGGAACACACGCAGTGCCCGCCCGGCGCCGGCGTGGCGGCTCCCGGTGGGTGCACGGGCCCGGGGGGAGCGCGGGGCGGAGCGGCGCCGGTCGGCAGCCCCGTGACCCCGTGCGCCCCGCTCCAGGCACTTCCAGCCAGAACACGCAATGCCAGCCGTGCCCCGTGGGCACCTTCTCTGCCGGGCGCTCAAGCTCCGAGCGCTGCCAGCCCCACCGCAACTGCTCGGCCCTGGGCCTGACCCTCAACGTACCCGGCTCCTCCTTCCACGATGCCCTGTGCACCGGCTGCTCAAACTTCTCGCTCAGCACCCCGGAGCCAGGTGAGTTCGCCCCGCGCCATCAGTGTGGAGCGGGCCCGGCCCGGGCCCAGAGACGTCCAGGAAGCCTCCGAGCCGTTTCACGTGGGCAAACAGGCCCCGAGCGGTCAGCGGCCACAGTGGGGGTCCCGCTGGGCGCCCACCTCACCCCTCAGTCGCCCGGAACCGCTCCGGCCAGGCGCGCCCCCACCCCGGGCCTCAGGCGGCGCGCTCCGCTGTGCGGCGCCTGTGCCCTTCCCACCGCCTCGGCTTTCCACCCGGGCTTGTCCCAGCCTCCTGCCCTTGATCGGCGCCCAGCCCCTTGAGAGCCGTGCTCTGTTTGCAGGGCCGGAGTGCGAGCGCGCCCTCGTGGACTTCGTGGCCTTCCAGGACATGCCCTTCAAGAAGCTCCTGCGGCTGCAGCAGGCCCTGGCGGGATCCGGGGGGCAGAGGGCGCCGCCGCCGCCGCCGCCGCCGCGGGAGGAGGGTCGTGCCGCCTTGCAGCTCGACCTGCGACAGCAGCTGCTGGAGCTAGGTGCGCAGGGCGGGGTGCTGGGGGTGCGGCTGCTGCGGGCGCTGAGGGCGGCCAGGCTGACCGCGCTGGAGCGTAGCGTCCGTGCGCGCTTCTCCACCTCCCTCTGAGCGTCTCCCTTCCCCGCGTCCTATTTATTCTCCCCCTCCCGGGGGCCGACGCACCAGGCCATGGCGTTGGTGACGTTTATTTTTATAAATTCATTTTGTATCACAGCAGCTGCGATGTCTCCTGCCTTTGCTTCCAGGGCGGCTTGTCTGCTGCCACCCGGGGTGGGGGGGGCTTCCAAGCAGGCCCTTGCACTTGGCTACTCCAGGGGCAGATCCCCGGATGAGGCGTCAGACATGCCACAGTACTTGTGGGAGTTGGCCGTGGGCAGTGGGTGTACCATCTGTTCGAGTGCTCCCCAAGGCCCACGCTGTCTAGTCTGGCCCAGTGGCTGGGGCAGCACCTGGGCCAGAAGTGGGCACTGCCCAAGGGGCTCCTACGGGCTGCCTGGTCTCCGGAAGGGGAGGCCATGCCAGGAAGTCCTGTAGGCACCCCGTGCCGCCCCTCCCCCAACCGTGTCCATTTGAGCCAACAGGGAATTTCCGAGGAAGGGCCTAGGTGTTGGCTGGCAGCCCAGGCTCCTCACTGGGCCAGGATGATGTTCCACAGCCACCCGGAGCACCCCACGTGCTTTCTGGAAAAGGCAGCTTTTCCCCTCTGGGCCAGGCTGGGATGTGGCCTCGGGAAGGCGTCTGGAGTCTCTGGCAGGCTCCAGGGCTCTCCATTGGCCGATCCTTCCACAGCTACAGAGCAGTCCCTCCCCAAGGTCCTGGAAGCACCACTGCTGCCCCAGAAAGACCAGTAACCAGGGAAGGGGGCCTTAGTAGCCAACATGCTATGCACTCCAATCAGACTCACCCCCACTCCTAGCAACTCCTCCTGGGTGTGTGTGTGTGGGGGGGCATCTAATATGCCGGCCTGACCCAAGCAGCCCCCAGGTTGTGGTCAGCCATCTCCACATCACCCCCAAATCCCGTCTCCCCTGGGAAAGCCCCAAGCCATACCTGCCCACACCATCTGGAGTCTTGTTGGAGCTGCAAGCCAGGGACAGAACCTGGTGCTAAGGCTGACATGACAGTGGGGGCCCACCCTGTGTCGTCCCCACCCCACCCCCAGGCCAAGCTGTGGAAAAAATGAGCAGGACCACTCCAGTTTCTCACCCTTGACCCTGGTCAGACCCAGCCTTGGCCACTAGGCCCTGCTACTCATGTGTGGGTACAGCCGGGGTTTCTACAGGATAGGGGCACTGCTCTTCCAGAATGGCAGCTCAGGGCACCTCTGAGAATGCTGTCCCCAGGAACACAGGCCCTGGGGACCCACCTCCCCAACACAGTGCCCAAGTGAGCTGGACATCTGAATGGAGGACTCTGGTCCCATAAGTACCTCCCAACCTGCCAGGTGGGGTGGGGGCACCAAGACCTTAGCCCAAGCGCCCAGCTTTTCCATTCTAGTCAAACCCCCACCCCACGAAAGGTGCCTCCCTCCTAGATCAGGGGGCACAGATCAGATACCCTGCTGTGCCAGCCACAGGTGGTGAGATAGACAGTGGTCTACAGGGTGGCACTGCAGTTGTGCCACTCAGAGCCCCCTGAAGTTTTGGAAAACTTCATTCCTCAGCCCCCAGTCCCAACTCTGGACTGGATAGTGGGGCCAGGGGGCGACCACCCCCAGAGGGGTGTTTCAGGTGCTGCAGCAATGCTCCCTTCTGCAGAACCACTGGGGTGGGTACTAGGAACCAGCTCAGCCACGCCCCCCACGCAGAAGCCTCCGCACGCCAACACTTTTCTGGACATGGAGAAGTTTGTCTTAGAGAAAACAGAGCAAACACAGACTCCGGAGACAAAGCGCCCGGGCCCTGGAGCCAGCAGGGAGTGGCGGCAGCAGTCAGCAGTGCTAGCACCTACGTGATGTCCCTCTGCCGTGGCGGCCGGTGGAGGTTACGGACAACGCACTTCACCATCCACTCGATGCCTTCGTTCACGCCTTTGCTGCAGGAATGGCAAGTGTGAGTATGGGGCTATGTGCACCCCCAACCCATCTGGGACCCCACTCACCCTGTGAGCGCTGAACAAGCTTGGGTCAGGCAGTCCCGCCGCCCAATTTTGGAGGTGCAGTCGCTGAAGGCCGTCTTGATGTCAGGGATGGAGAGGCAGGTCTGTGGGAAACGAGGCCATGAGAGCAGAGCACAGTCCTCTACCCCAAGCAGTCAAGATGGCCACCTGTCCTGTCTGTCGTTCTCAGGGCTGCTCAGACAAGGCCTCCCCGGTAAGGATGGCGGTAACAGTGGTCCCAGGAGCAGCAGTGGCAACGAGGGGCTGGGCTGGTGCAGCCACACGGATCATCTTCTGACTCTGATCTTGGGTTCCTGCAGCCCTTCCTCTTCTCCCACCACCCCCACCCCCTCCGGCTGTCAGCACTTCAGACAGGGACATGAGCTGGTGAGCCAAGGACAAGACGGCGCGCCAAGGGAAGGCATCCAGAGTAGCACTGGGGGTCCTGGGTGACAGCATAGGGCTCTGTGCACTTGGGGCAGATGGACCAAGGTGCCTGAGGAACACCATGAATCCCTGCAACAGGCAGTGGAGCGGGCAAGGGGCACACGGACACCTGGCAGGGCCCACCCAGCTCACCTCCACGTCCTGCTTGTTGGCCAGTACTAGGATGGGGACACCCTCCAGCGCCTCACTTGTGACCATCTTCTCTGGGGAAGCAGGCAGGTTGTGAGGGACGGCCTGGCTCCCCCAGGCCCTCCACCCCACACCTAGGCACTCTGCCTCCAACACAGGCTTCAGCCGTGAGCTCACCAAACGCTCGCTTGGACTCTGACAGCCTCTCCTCGTCGGTGGAGTCAATCACATAGATGACACCATGGCACTCCGCGTAGTACTAGGAAGAGGGGCGTGGGGGTGGTCAGCGAGGGCAAGCAGCGTCCACAGCCGCCATCTCATGGAACCGGGATGTAAGGACACCATGCAGAGGTCAAGGGGCAGCCTCCGACAGGAAGTGGGGAGATGTACTTGACAGGAGGTACCCCCAACACTCCTCAGGTTGCACGGCCTGCTGACCTTGGCATGGTGGCAGCTGCTCCACCACTTCCTTCAGGTCTCGGCGAGGACGACTTTGGCCGAGGGTTTGTCTCCCTCTCCCTCCCTCCTCTAGGCATTGAGACCAACACACATTCCTCCATCCCCCAAGCCATCTTGGCCCGTTTCTGACAACTGGCCTGTGGGCCTGGTCTGTGGTGGGGACTCGGCAGAGTGGTCAGGCTGGCACCAAGACACATGGAAGGGGAGGAGCAAGGGGATGGTAAAGGAGGGGCTCATGCAAAGAGGTGGCACTGGGGCCTGGCCACACCCTGATCTCAAGGTGGGTTGGCAGGCCACACTTTCAGTGGTGGGCCATCACCAGAGGCCAGACAGAAGCCCAGTGATGCAAGGCAAACGGATGCACCCCACCCCTCCTGCCAGCAGCTGGTGGCCTCTTCAGGCCCTGGAGGCAGCCAGTCCTGCACATGAAGGGCTTCTGTGGCCTGTGCACAGCGCTGCTAAAGGGCACCAAGCCCAGGGAAGCCTGCAACTCTAGACCTGCAGGGGAAGCAGGTGTTGTGGGGCCTGGTGGCAGGCTGAGTCACCTAGTGGCTCCTGCCACCAGCCTTGTGCCCTGGAGATGGAGTAACAAACTAGGGGATGCCAGGAACACTTGGTCAGGGCTACCACATTCAAGTGGCTTCTGCCAGACCCGCCACAGCAGAAGGTGGGATCAGGGAGCTGGGACCAAGCACAAGTGGGGCCAGTGGGCAGGCCAGACCCAATGCACTATCACACCTGTGGCTGCACAGGGGCCCCCATACAAGAGTGGACACAACTGAGACTGGTGAGAAAGACCAGTTCCACACGTGGCTGTGGGACAGACATCAGGCAAAGGGCATTAACAGCAGCCTCAGCCTGGGGAGAGGTCTGCACCCTACGTCAAGGACCACCAGGGACAAAAATGCCACGGCCAGCTTGGCACGACTGCCCTATGCTATAGGATGGTTGTACACACGAAGGCCACGGTGGCAGAGACGAGGCTGAGGGAATGGTCGCCAACCACATACCCCAGCAGCGGCAGAGAGCAGTGGGGAGCCTTGCTGGGGTGTCATCACTCCAGGAGCTCCCAGGCCTCTGCCAGCAGGCTGACTGCACTGGGTGCAAGTTGGCCTGTTCTGCCCAATGACCTCTGGGCATGTTAAGGGCTCGCCAGGTGAAATACTGGCAAGGATGCTGTCACATCCAACCAGGACTCCGTGGAAAATGAGAAGGCCAGCATCTCCAACAAAAGGAGCATCACATGTGCAGACCATAAGATTTAGAACACAACAGGCTCACTGATCAAGGACCTTCATTTGGCACTGAGTGCCCCCTCCCTGACCAAGGAAGAACTTTCATGTGGCCCCAACCTCCCAACCCCCTTCCACCTGGACACATAGCTCTGGGTACAGACAGGCAGGGAGCAGGCCCTTCCCTTCCAGTGATGATGGGGCTCTGTGCTGCTGGGCCTCTGCTCAGAGGCCTGGTGTCTCCAAAGGACACTTTCACCAGGGACAGAGCAAGACCCATGGACTATAAACTATAGCTGCACCAGGCACTTTGAGCTCTTGTCCAGGGACCCCCAGGTACCAAGAGACCTCACTGTGGGAGAGTACAGTGCCTGGCTACAGGCAGCCGGGGTGTATGTATGGGATCAGGTGCCCACACCCTGGGACTGCACATGGGGAGGGCGTGGTGCTCAGGGGTCACACCCTTGATGCCAAGTCCAGATCGCACTGCTAAGTGATCAAGGTTGCAGTGCAGTAAATTACTTAGTGTGGCTTTTCTAGCCGTAAGTCTTTGTAAACTCTGTGGTGGAATTTGCTGTGAGCAGCTAAGGAGATCTTGATTGTAAAAGTTATCCACCTGGGGTATTTCTGTTGGGAGTAGCACTGGAGCAATGTTCTGGGAAGTTCACTCTCTCAGGTGCTTACAATTCTGATGTTATGATTGGCTAGTTTGGCCACTCTGCCAGCCTCAAAAGGAGGCCTCCTAGAGGCAGAATTCTGACTGCGGGCTGAGGAAGACGTGCTGCTGAAGGAGATACACATTGCTGAGTGAGAGACACAGAGGGATACTGTTGGGAGAGAAACTGAACATTTTTCCTGAACTCAAATTGTAGCCTGGTGCTTCCCTAATAAACCCCACAATCTGTGAGTTGTATGTGGCCACTGCAGTGAATTATCAGACCCAGGAGAGAGATGGTGGATGCTTTGGGAGGAACAGTTGGTGAAAGGGCTGGAGGGAGGCAGCATGTCTGGCCTCACAGTAACGGGCCTTGGGTTACTGATAGTGATTCTGTCTTCCTCTTGTGGGGCTAAAGGAGGTCAGAACATGTGGCCTCCTTGTCCTTTTTGCAAGGGCAACAAACATGGTAGCTGAGTGTGAGGGGATCCAGGAAGGTCAGCAGAGAGGTGAGGAGCACCCCACATCTTGTACATGATGGCCCAGGTGGCAGGCGCTACCTGGCTGCAGACAGAGCACCAGCAGGCGGCCCTTTTGTCAGCTCCTCCAGGATCTACTTCATCCACAGAGGTCCAGCCTGCCATGCCACCCTTTCTCCAGAGGGCATGACTTTGCTCTCTGCTCACAACTGCGTCCTCTCCACTATTCACAAATTTTGATACCCAGTGAACATCCCACACCGCAGTGTCACCATCTGCTCAAGAACCCATTGGGAAAACACACCCTGCACAGCTCCTTCTACTCCCCACGTGCATCTGGTGGTCTGACTAGGGCTTCGAGCCAGTCTGAAGCTCTCGTTCTAAGAAGTAGAGCCCTGGACTCAGCCTAGCCTCTGGCCCTTGCCAGCAGTCCCAGAAAGCACACCAAAAGCTTCTGGCCAGCAAGATGGAGCTGCTTTCTCAGCTGGAGCCAGGCAGGAAGGGGATCTGCTGGGTGCCTGCTGCCAGGGCCAGAAACCAAGACCTGGACACTCAGTCCCCGTGGAGATGACAGGCAGGTATCGGGAAACATGCGACCTGTCCCGTGCCAATCTGAAAGGCACTCCTCGAGGAAGAAGCTGTTCTGGGCACTCACTGTTGGCACAAGGCTGAGCTGAAGACGGAGTGCCCCGCACGGGCTCAATCTTGGGGCACAGGGGCAAAAGGGCCCCACTCTGGGGTCTGAAAAATGCACAAAACCCATGTCCAAAGAAGATGCTTGCTGTCCACCTTTGAAGAAGCGGTCCCCCTGGTGAGAAAAGGCCACTAGGTTTTGCTGACTTAAGCCCGAGTCTTGGGAGTGGAACCTCGGGCTTGTCGGCAAAGACTTGGAAAGGGCCACGAGTTAAGCAGCACACAGACTCTGAAACTTCCCTATGCTTGGTTCTTAGCTGTCATTCATCTGCACCGTGACAATTACATCTGTAAGCCAAAAGGAACCAAGGGCTTCCTTGCTTTTGGGGTGGCAATCAGAGAGGCTGAGAAGGCCTGGGGAGAGAAGCCTCGGGAAAAAGTAGTCAAAGCAGTTGTTGAAGGGCAGGAAAGAGGCTGAGACGGGTCCTGAGGGGGGTGAGGGCAAGGGGCAGGGCCTGCGCGCACATGCACACATGCACAAACGCATGCGCGCGCGCGCACACACACACGTGTCCCTGAGACATGTCTCACCTTGTCCCACAGCGACTGCAGCTCCTCCTGCCCCCCTAAGTCCCAGAACATGAGGCGTGTCTTCCCCACATCCACAGTGCCGACTGCAGAGGGAGAACCAGGGGCTGTGTGGCCTTGCTCCTCCAGGTGCCCCGCCTCCCCAGTCTGCCCCGGGGGTGGGGGGGGCCATGGACTCAGGCTGCACCCCAGGGCTCAGCGCCACGCCCCACTCACTGTTGAGGCCCACGGTGGTGGTGATCTTGGACAAGCTCATCCCCCTGTAGTGCTTGTTGAACCGGGTCTTCGACTGCTCCAGGAAGGTCTGCGGCGGGGAGCCAGCATCAGTTTCCGAGTCTGCCTCCCAAACACCCCTTCTCCGGCCCCCCTCGGGACACGGAACGGGTGACCTCGTGGTCTCAGGCGGGGCCCAGCACGTACCGTCTTGCCGGCATTGTCCAGGCCCAGGATCAGGATGCAGTACTCGTCCTTCTGGAACACGTACTTGTACAGGCCTGAGAGCAGCGTGTACATCCTGCCCTGCGACGCCCGGCATCCGTCAGGCTTCCGGGCTGCGCCACAGCGCCCCGTCCCCGCCGCGCCCGGCCTTCTGCTCCGAGCGGGAGCCCGGGCCGTTCCTGACACCCAGCCCGCCTCCCCTCTCAGCCTGCACGCCTGCAGCGCTGCCTGCGCCCTCCCACCGCACGGCTTCCCGGACCACGCACCGAGTCCCGGGCCACTCTGCTCCCTGCCGTGGCCTGGGCCTTGCACAGCGTCGGGGCCCTCCCTACCCTCCGGATCCCGGCCAGGTGTCCGCACACGCCCTTGTGGCCGCACCTGCCACCCCGGCCACTGCTGCAGGCTCGCTCCAACCCAGCAGCGTTCCTCAAAACGCGCTCGTGCGGGGCTCAGGCCTGCTCGGCCCCTCACGGCCGACGCGCGCCAGGAGCCACCGAGGCCACGAGGACCGGACTACAGGAGCCGCCGCGGTCGACCTCGCGGTCCGGCGTACCCGGAGGCGGCGGTGGCCGCGAGATGCCGGGCAGGGCGCCCACGCGGACCTCGAGTTCCGAGCCCTCGGCCCCACCACTAACTCCGCCCCAGACCCTCCAGC